TATCTATCTTCTATATATATCCAAGAGATTTCCACGTATACAGTCACTCATCACGATATCTCTGGAAACATTAGAGCTAAAGACTTGAAATTTGGTAGGAATATTCTTTTCACCGAGTAGAGGTCAGCTAAGAACGGATTTTAAGAAATTAAAAAATAATAATAATAATTAAATAATGTAAATAGCAAAACAACGTTTGCAATGTCAGCTAGTCTATAATATATGTATTTAGAACTATATACATTAAGGGTCCTAATTATAACATGTACTTACTGTTCCTTAGAGATAGTGTAGGTAGTGCTTTGTGGCTAGTGTTATTTATTTATTTATTTATTTTTTTTTTTAAAAAGACAACGCCCGCATTAGGAATAAATCCTGTGTCGCGGGGGACTTTACAAACATACATGAAACGGACACAAAGAACATCCAGACTCAGAACAACAATTTGTGGATCACACAAAGTGTCGTCCCATGTGGGGTTTGAACCCACAAACACTCGGCGTAGTAGGAAGCGGCGTGGCGACCGCTTAAACCACTACGCCATCCGTGCAGTGTGGGTAATGTAGGTAGGTAGGCAGGCAATAGTTTTTCTACGCCACGTTCACTATATTCTTTGCTGTATTCTCTGGCAACATGCTTATAAAATTTCCGTTTATAACTACAACTCATTTTCTGAACTGTGATGTAAAGTTTACAAGTATGATTCATTACAACGTTCCTTTACCACCTGCCTGGTATCCTAGATTTTGATAATATTCAAGAAATAATGCTACTAAGGTATCAAAGACAAATATCAATAGCCTTTGAGATATCAAAGGATCTCATTGCCGACGCCGGGACGAAACTGTATTCCTGAAATTAATAAGTAACTACCCTTATAATATTAAAATACAGTTAATGTATATAAACTTATTCAAAATGAGTTATTATTCGTTGCAAGGCGAATCGAAAAAAGTCATTCATCATTCCATTGTTGTGTGCTTCACACAACGATACGAAAAGCTCTGAGTGTAATTAAGTTTGAAGAAATTTATAAAACACTCAAATAACATAACAGTCCACTTAGTAAGTATAATATTTAATAATAACAAAAGCAAGAACAAGAAACCGCAATCATAGGTCTTTAACTCCATGACTCAAAAAAGTTAAGTAAACAGATTGCATTATAAAATGTAAGTACTTACATGAAATTATATTTTGTATTATCGTTGAAGGGAGTCCGTTATGGTTAACCACTGCAGTAAACCATAAACAATATAAATCAACATCTTATATATAAAATAAGTCACAATGTTCGTTCCCGTAATCCTCCGAAACGGCTTGACCGATTCTCATGAAATTTTGTGTGCACACCTGGTAGGTCTGAGAATCGGCCAACATCTATTTTTTATACCTCTAAATGGTAAGGGTGACCCATCCCTATTTTTTTTTTTGTTTTGCATACAACGTTTGCCGGGTCAGCTAGTTATAATATAAAATGCGCACACTTTGCACTTCATTTCCAATTTCAACTAAGAATGTCAGGTAATTTGAAAATTAAGGAAACAACCAAAACACAACTATTAAATATCAGAGATTTTATTACATACATAGATTCAGGCAACATATTCTCATTAATAGTATTGTTACCTTGTGTTACATAGGACCTTCCCTTGAAAAGTGACGTGTAGATTTTACCTTCTACTCTGTTTACCCATTCTGGAATATAGGCGTGAGTATCAATGTATGTACGTACCCGTATAATGTTATTTATTGTGAAGTATTTATAATAGGTGTCTGCAATTCGAGTAGAATTTCCCGTGCTCTACGTCTATAAAATTTATAACAGGAATATTAGTTAAGTTGACTGGTTTCGAATAAAAAGCATTACATAACATCATAACGTCAAAGTTCATTTTAAAATTTCTTGCTTCCTCTACATGTAAATGCAGGGAAGGTAACGTCACTCTTTGCATGTAAATCTTGTTACGTCAGTAAAGGTGCTCGACTAACCAAGTCACTCACCGGGTAGAGGAAAATATTAGCCTAATAAAGTGTGTTACTACGAGTATACCTTCCTACAATCTAAATAAAACTATAACAAGGGTTCTGATAAAAGCGTATAAATATTATAGCGAAAGTTACGATTCTTTACTAATAGATATATGTATAATTATACACACATTCACACATGCTATGGGAGAGGCCTATGTCCAGCAGTGGACTGCGATAGGCTGATGATGATGATTACACATTCCTTTTAATAATTAAAACATTGTTAGAGCTTTCCTTCAATCTCAGAGTCCACTGTACGACATTTAAATATATGTCATGTACAACTTGTACAGATTCTGGATTCGTTTTGTTATGAAACTGTATACAAAGAAGCAATCAGGGCCACAGAGGTTCCAATCAATTTCTGTTCTTCATGTTTTGTGGTGTAACAAGGTATTCTTCAATCACGCAATTGATGATACACCTTCTCATTTATTCTCTATTGAGCACTTTTTTTTTTTTTTTTGTCCGTGCGGAAATCCCCTCGGATACCACCGGTCGGTGGCACGTAGTCATTAACATGGGGTTTTTAATTTGTGTATTTGTAGAAATCTATTGAGTACTAAATAGATTACTTAATAGATATTTTCCGGCCAGATTTCAAATTTTTGATAATTATATTTACTGCAATTTCTATTGAGATATTTGTTTTTTAATTTGACTGACCTGTTTATCTAGTGATGACATCCTATCTACTAAGAATGAGTTGTAAGTTCAATTCCCACTCAGGATGAGCAACCATTTTGTGATGAGCACGATTATTTATTGTCTGGATGTAATTAATGTAAATATTTATTGAAAAATTTACATTCTTATCAGACGTCTGGTTACCATAGTACAGGTTCGGCCTAGTTTGGGATCAGAGGGCCTATGTGAGACGTCAAGGATGTCTCAAGTTATTATTATTATTCTCTTTATTTCATTAAATATACATATAAACTACATTTTTAAATACATTTATGATTCATACATTAAAAATAAAATATAGTTAAAAAGAAAAAATAAAAGTGTCCTTTCTGTATCGGATACAGGGACCAAGATACCTTTTTTAGGACTATATGATTGCGATTTTAACTAAAAAATCAGACATTATCAGTAAAATTTTGAACTTGCTAACAATCAGCGTCGATGTTAAATACTCATAATTTTATTCTTGCTTCTCCTCTCTCTTATTGAGTGCCCTATGTCTTTTTCATTGGAAGTATTATGCATTTATTGTAAATTTTTGATCCATGAATTTACTAAAAATTTACAGTGCTTTGCTTTCACTATATCATCTTTCTGTAAAATTCTATATAAGTCGGTATTAACCAACCATATTGCTATTAATACGTTTAATAGACTGAAATAGACAATTAATCAACAGCTTGGTAGCTTTGGCAAAGCTTGTTAACGGTAGATTACCAAATGAAAGCTAACGCACTAACGTCACCACATCAATACACTTCGTTAAGGATTAGTTTATCACAAGATAGAATCCAGAGTTTACTATAGTCTAGTATATAATAATTATAGATTGGTAACACTATGTAACAGCATGTCCGTGTAGTGACGGATTAAGAATACGGAATGTCACTACCCCAATTCATCCCGTGGGTGTCGTAAGAGGCGACTGAGGGCGCAAAACAACGCAGGTCACCAGCACTGCAAAAAGAAGGAAAACTTGACACAAACCCTATACCAACCCGTCTGGCCAGCGTGGTGTAGTAGGCCAAAACCTCCTTTCTAAGGAGAGGCCTATTTCCAGCAGTGGACTATTAAAGGCTGATGATGACGACACCCACGGGATGAATTGGGGTAGTGGCATTCCGTATTCTTAATCTTAATTAATTAAGAAGTAAACTATAATAAGAATATGATAGGCAAAAACAGCTTGTCTAATATATACGACCTGTTTTTGTCTCAGTCAGAGTTCTGATTATTTCTGGCTTTCGACTATTATTACCAAACAAACATCATATTAAAAATTATCGTCAAAAACAGTATTTTAAGCGCTTAATATTTTAGTTTTGATTTCCCATACCTATTTTAATTTATTTTTACTATTTTTGTGTCTCATCGAAGCTGCTTTGTATTTCGATATTTTAAGCTATAGAGTAATCCGAGTTACTTATATAAATACCTGGAAATCTCAAAACACTAGGATTGCTAGCCGAGTGTTATAAATAGTGTTTAATAGATAATTAAATATTGTTTGATAAAAAATTATATAAATTAAAAATAACCGATCTCATCTGTATAGAAAAAGGGCACTATATTATTCTGCAAATTTCAATATTAGTACTTTGAGTAACTCCACATGCTGCACCAACCATTTTACACGACATCAGAGAATATTGTCCCATTCCTTAATGAAATTAATTTCGAACTCTTTTCCTGAATCAATCGTGGGAGAGTTTCGTTTTCTTAACCATCGATTACGTTTGGGATGAGCTCGAAGGTCCCAAGCGTGTCCGACCGGGTTAAGATTGTGCTTGCTGGCATTCTAAACACATACCTGTTCACCTCTTAAAGTCATTCACAATCCGACCGGGATTCATTGCTGCTGAGTTTACATTTAATATCTAATAATATATGTAATTATAAGAAATTAGAATATAAGTAACATTAAGAATATGGTACTAGAATCAAGAGTCGATATCCCATGGTATCGGTTTTAAGAGATGTACCTACATTTAAATTAGTTCGTCTCATTACTATGAGAATATATTCTCTATATGTGAGCGGGCTGGACACTATTTGTATTATTATTGCATTCAAACACTGTCTTATACTCCACTACAAATGTAAGGGCCTTCAGATTTTCCTTTTTATTTTTTACCAGTTAAGAAAAGCTTTAAAGGTTGATATAGAAATTTGGGAACGCTACATATAGTAGCGAAGTAATCACGGCAAAATTTAAGTGTGTAAACTAGTATCCTCGTAATATAACCCTGTTACACCCAGCGGCATTCCTCCACAGGAATATGTGGAATGTGTGGCGTACCGTGCTGGAGGAGAATGAGAAGCTGGCACGCGCCCGTCTCGCCGCTGTTGAGGTGTTCCAACAGCAAATAGCTGATGAGGCCAAGTGTTTGAGACAGCATAAACTCAACGTCGCTAAGAAGGTATGTACAATGTTATTTTTTTAGCTTCATCTGTATTGTAGGTTATTATTAGGTAACTTTTTTTATACTCATATAAAAGGTGTTGTAAAATAATAATAATAGTAACTTCACACATCTCCACTAACGACAGTCTATACAAGTGTAAAAAACAATATTTTAGAAGCAATCCCAACAATTGACCATTAACACAAAAGTCTAATGGCTTTTGAGTTTAAATTGTTTTCATTATTTCGCTAGTTTTGATTTTTTTCCTAATTAATGTGCATTCATTTAAGCAACATTTTCAAAGCAATTTCAATTATTTTATTTCTTTATTTGTTACTTGGACTATTGGGGGGAAAACTGGCTACTCCTTCAATATATTAACATTCTCACAGAATAATTATTGACAAATTAAAATTCATCTCGCTTCTGCAACACTTTGTAAATACATAGTATTTCTAAATCATCAACCATCATCAACAGCCTATACTAGTCCACTGCTGGACATAGGCCTCTCCTTAGAAAGGAGGTTTTGGCCTACTATACCACGCTGGCCAGACGGGTTGGTATAGGGTTTGTTTCAAGTATTCCTTCTCTTTACAATGCTGTTGTCCTGCTGAGTTTGCTCCCTTAGTCGGCTCTTACGACACCCACGGGATGAATTGGGGTGGTGACAATTTGTATTCTTAATCCGTCACCACACTGACCGTTCTAAATGAAGTGCGTATATATTAAGAATATTAATCCAGGTATCTAACTGCTAGATAGAAACAGTATATTGTACAATACCTAAGCAATTACTATCAGATAATGTTGCACAATGGTCGGTCTCATCACAGATTGCGAACTGCAACGGACAACCTTTGAAATAGATTGTGTTGTTTGTAATGGAATTGGAAACTGCTTTGATATTTGTCGATTCAAACTCCAATTGTACAATAGCGAGCCCAGTCTAAGCATTATCACTTCTAGTGTCTGGCCAGTTGGTATAGAGGTTATAATTATATAAATAAATAATTTATTCGAGTCACTTTTTTCTTATGAACCATTACAATCTGCACGGATGGCGTAGTGGTTTAAGCGGTCGCCACGCCGCTTCCTACATGGGACGGACACTTGTGTGATCCCACATATTGTTGTTCTGAGTCTGGGTGTTCTTTGTGTCCGTTTCATGTATGTTTGTAAAGTCCCCCGCGACACAGGATATATTCCTCATGCGGTAGTTGTCTTTTAAAAAGAAAAAAAAAGAAAAAAAAGAATCTATATCTCGGACATCACTTATGTATGTTCAATCCCTACCAGAAGATCACCCGCAAGCAACGGTTCACATACACACAGTCGAGCCTGCTGGCAATGCCATAAAATGCTGTTGGGGCTGGTCCTCATACAGCGCACCAGGGGCACTCTTACGCATCGTGGTATAAAAATAGTCAACACGAGCCTTGGCAAACATCTGCAATACCGGGCAGCCCCATCAGTACCCGTAACGCGTCATTATATTGTATCCCAAAAGCATTGTACGATTCCTGCGAATGATTTACCCAGAGGCTTGCATGTGTAGATTATTCTACACATGCAGCCTCTGGGTATAATATATAATAATCTGGGCGTGCAAACTTGCGGGCTATCATGTTCTGTCAACCGACTGCGCCCTTTGATCCTTTTCTAAATCTTCGTCTTCGAGAGACGCTCAAGCAATGTTCGAGGTACTTCAATTCGTACTCTGACAAGTGGTACGCCATTTAATTTGACCGCTGGTATGGATTGAGGTCTTGAACCGCTGGTCTCAAATACCATGATTTCACTCTTTTTAACATTAGATATCAGTCCGTGATGGTTAGCATAGTTTTCACAGATGGCTTTCACAATTCGTGGATCTGGATCAATTCGTAAAGATTTAAGAGTGTGGGTGAACTCATAGCTTCCTGTCTCACCCCACACTCCAATCCATAAGGTTCCGATAATAGCACTGCCCACCGCACCTGATTAATTTGATTGCCGGACCAATATTTCAAGGTATAAATGATCTCAGGAGATACTTTTGATTTTTCTAATTTACTCCACAGAATATTGTAGGAAACCAGATCAATCTTTGGAAAGGTCGAGGACGCATACGTGTGTAGGTTTTTTTTCTTCTTTTCTTTTGACCGTTCACTTCAAACACAGATCTGTACTCTCTGTCGATAATCCGGGTCTGAATCCACACTGCATCCGGATGTAGTTATTAAGCTGTGTATGAGTCAGACTGTGGAACACTTTCGCGATCACCGCAGCCAGAGAAATAGGCCTATAATTGTTTACGTCTGCAAAGTCACAAGTGTCAACTAGGCAGGACACACACAAACGTTGATTGCTAAACCCGAGTTCGTGGTTTTAATTTCCCCTCAGTACAAATAATTTTGTAATATCGGGTTCGGTTATTTCGATGTATAAATGTTAATCTGTGTTCTGGTTAATGTGGTACAGGCTCTGCCTCATTTACAACAAGACGGCCGTGTGTAAGTTGTCTCAAATATTACCTATTTTACAGATTAATAATTTAATTTAATAATCGACGAGATATAACGATGAACGTAGACGATGATCAAATGAAAAAAACAGAAATATCTTTTTGAAACGAATATAGGTTGATAATATTAGTTAGCAGATCAAGTTGGCCTGGAAATCTAGTTTTCCTTCAGAGCAGTTAACACTAACTAATTTTTTTCTGCTAAATGTATTAATTAAAACTTATAATATTCTTGCTTTGCTAGGAATTTAATTACGGTAGGTCGGAAGATGAACGAATATAATTACTGTATATTTAATAAACCATCTGGAGATGATATTAGATTTACGTCGAGTTTTTTTTTTAAGTTATTCAGTATAGTCTACCGTTTACGCAAAGCCGGGTCTTCTTATCTCTTTCTTTTATTACAGGTAGCAAAGGTATACTGGCTAGTGAAATTCTAATATTATTTTTTTTGTTTGAACGTTATAAAGACCAAACTTCACGTCCTTAATGAAATTAACACATTTGAATACATAGAAATGGAAGAATAACGCGATTAAATTCATACAAGTGATTTTAACTTAAAAAATAAATACAATAATATATTTAATAAACCATATTTTGGAATTATTTATAAAATATTTAAGTACAAAATTTCGATACTCAAGTAACAGTATTTATTCTTCTTTTCGAGAATCGATTCCTGAATTCATTAAGTGGCGCTTCTAAAGTCCCTTCCAGATAAGTCTTATTTTATATTTTTTTCTCATTTATTGCAAAAAACATATTTAGATGTTTTGTAGTAGGTAAAGTTTCAACTCTTACCCAAATGGGCATTGCCATTATAAAGTACATCACTATCAACAGCCTTTGCTAGTCCACTGCTGGACTAGGCCCCTCCTTAGAAAGAAGGTTTTAGCCTACTATACCACGCTGGGCAGACAGTTTGGTATAGGGTTTGTTTCAAGTTTTCCTTCCCTTTGCACTGCTGTTGTGCCGCGTAGTTTGCTCCCTTAGTCGGCTCTTACGACACGGATGAATAGGGGTGGTGACACTCTGTAATTCTTAATCCGTTACCACAAGGAACGTAAAGTACAATAGTAATAAAAAAACAGATATTGTGTGATGAGCACGGTCATTTCTTCTGTGTCTGGGTGTAACTTATCTATAATATGTATGTATTTAGAAATATATACACAGGATCTGCCTAGTTTGGGGATCAGACGGCCCTGTGTGAGATGTGTGAGATAATAATTTAACAAGCATTCAAATTATTATCTGAGAAAAAACTTTTGCAAATTATTATAAAACACATTCTTGATTAACCATTCTTTTAAAGCGTTCATGAACATTTTTCCATCTAATTTCTTTATTTCTAGCTTGCCCTTATTAAATACTCTTATTTCTGTAATATATGTGCTTTTGTAACATATCATATAGGCAGTAGGAAGATATCCTGTGTCGTCGGAGACTTCACAAACATTCACTTAAACGGACTCAAAGAACACTCAGACTCAGAACAACAATTTGTGTATCACACAAAGTGTTATCCTATGTGGGGATCGAACCCACAATACTCAGTGCGAAGCGGATAGGTGACCGTGCAGTCAATATTAGGTTGAAAATTTTAACAAAAACTCTTGAGTCATTTTCTATGAAAATACCAAGTCAAAGAAGCCCTGTATAGCGTGTTTTATTAGAACTAATACCATTCGAGAAATAGGAAACCCGATAATCAAAAGAAATATTCACCCTCCTTTTCCGCTTTTATGTGGCTTCGTTCTCTTAGCACATTCTAGCGATACCTATTATGTTAAGATTTAAACATTGTTAAATTCTGTAAATAACTTATTTATTTTAGAAGGTCATAGAGTTTAATTCCCACTCAACGAAAATACTTCAATTAATGAATGCCTGTTTATATTTGCCGGTGTTATTCCACCTACGAGTATAAATAACAATACAGCCTAAAGGTATTAGTCAGCTTTTAATATCTAATTATAAACTAACATGGCTTCTTTTACTACCTGACATCGATCAATCAATCTTGTTATCTTCATAAATAAAACAAAGACGACCTAGTTGCACATTTTATAAAGTCTAGAACTGCTGGACCGATTTTTATGGCGTTTGATTGGATTTGTTTCCGCTCCGAATAGCTGAGTAATAATTCATGAATTCACGGAAAACAAAATTATGAAGAAATCCTAGTATCTCATACCTTTTTTTTGTTATCTCATAACTACATTACGTATAAAACGTATCGTCTGCAGTATTTCCGGACCGATACGACCTTCAAACCTTTAAGAAAAGAGCGTACTCCTTCCTAACAGGCCGGCAACGCGTTTGTGACTCCTGAGTTGCAGGCGTTCATGGGCGGCGGTAGTCACTTTCCATCACGTCACGCGTGTGTTCGTCTGCCCCCTTTTACATTAAAAAAAAAACAGACTTGCGACACAAAACGCAAGTGAAACTGCCAGGAACTACTAATTATTACATAAAAATTACACTTTATCACTTCGGGGGT